AATTCCCATGATCACCCCCCAGCCTGTCTGACACACCGGTCAGGAAACATATGGCTGGAAAATTTATATATACTGTTCAGCCATTCTGGAATGCAACCTGGCAGTATTTACACTTAAACATCCTACTACAGGGGCTCGTAGGCAGCATGTTAAGGCACTGGACTCCCACATGGCTGACCATGGTTCAAGCCTTGGACCTGACAGCTTTCTCTCTCTCCCTGTGTCTCTATCTCTCCCAGGTCAAACTGATGAACAATAATAATAATAATAAGTAAAATAAATAATCCTTAAAACAGAAACACCCTACCACCAGCAATTTCACTTGTGGGTACTGTAAAGGTAAAACCACAGCAAATTTAGAGGTCTTAATTACTTTTACTTGTGATTTTAGAATTGGGCAACACCTTATTCTATAAAACAGAAGTGCTCCAGATAATTGAAGAGAGGAAGCTGGGTTTATAGATACAAGGTACAAAGAACAAAATGTGAACTGGTTGTTTCAGTTACTTTTCTTGTAAAGGTTAGAGTAAAGGGATCTGCCTCAAGCTGGCTAACACCCCATTTAGGAACGTGGCTCTCTGATCTCTTTGGAAGCCTGATAAACAATTTAGTTTGGGTGCAAAAGTTCACAAATTGCCTTCTGTAAGTTCTATTTAAACCACAAATAAAAGAGTACTCTTTTGGGACCAGCAGAAGGCATAATGGTTACATCCCTGGACTTTCATGTTGTCAACCATTATTTGAGTCCCTGACCTGGTGGCTTAAAACTCACACCAGGTGCGTGTATCTGCGTTCCTAAAATTCTGAGTGGAAAATACAGAAGGGATTGCAGCGTGGTCGTCCCCTGGGGGGTGATTTCTTGCTTTCTGTCTCTTGCTCCCAGGAGCGCACAGGCTATAACAAAACTCTTAAAAAAGGCACTGTTTTCTCAACTGCAAATAACTAACGTTGGTGTGAAGTTAATTATTGGGCCTCGTCGTTAAAAACTATCTAACTTATTAAAACACACAGCGTGTAGTATAAATATCTCTCTCAAAGTTTCTAAAAGCATATATATTCACTAGCTAGATAGCGGTCAGAATGCTGAAAGTCAATGTCCTGAGGACTTTTCCCCAAAAGAACCTCAAGACGTTCCATTGCGACTACGAAATAAAGACCAAGGGGATAAAAAACTGTCTCTAGTAGTCTCTAAGCGGTTAAAGCCAGCAAAAATTCTCATGCGAAGCTGCCAGCATTTAAAGAGCAAAGAGTTCTGGAAGTCTCTTTCGGGCATAGCAGAGAAACCAGTAGAAACCAGTCATTTTTCCCGCCACTACCCGCTTTGTGACTTTGGCGCGGAAAGAGCCGGTTCCCGCGGCAGCCAGCGCGGGCTTTTCCGAACCGCGCGCGCTGCTGGGCTCCGCCCCCCAACGTTGCTAGCCAACGAGAAGGCGCGAGTGGCCCTCGTCCGCCAATGAGGACCCGGCTCGCAGGCGCTCCCGCCAAGAGAGGAGGATAGGAAAAGATCAGGGCCCCGCTCCCGGGCGGTCCCGGGCTCACCTGGTGAGGTTCACACCCATGGCCAGATTACGGTCGCAGCGGTAGGTGTCGAAGCCTTCGGAGCGCAGGGTGAGCTGCACCAAGGAGACGTGGGACGAGTCCATGCTCTGCAGGTTCACGCCGCTCGAGCTGATGTCCCAGCAGGCCTCGTTGATGAGGTCCTTGAGCGCCTCTAGCACCTTCTTCAGGATGGAGCCCTGGACTAGGCGCGCCTCGAACATTGTGGAGTAGTCGCAACAACACAGCTAAAGTCTCGCAGGAGTGAAGATCTGGCCGGCTAGGCTTTCACGAATTGAGACCGAGGAAGAACGACCAGCCTGGTACCACTCCAGCCGTTTAATGCCGGCTCATCAGCCAGCGCGCGCTCTCCGCCCCTACGCTCTGCGCTGCAACGTCACCACGCTGCCCGCTAACCACCTGGGCGGGGTGACGCTAGAACCAATCCCGTCCCTGATTCTCGATGAACTCGCCCCGCCCCCGAACACTCATTGGAGAATGCGGGCGTCGAGCGGGGCGAGGGCAGCACGACCGGGGTGGGCGGAGCGGCGTTGCCCGAGTCTCCCCGCCTCTTTCTCTTGTTTCTGACCGCGGACGCGGGACAAATCCGGGCAAGTGCGTGCCAGGCCTGTGGTCGCTAACCCCAGCCTTATAGTACCTCCTCAGCCTCCTACTTGGGAGATACGAGTTTTCCAACCACGAAAGTGTATGTGAAATGCAGATCAAGCCTAATGGGATGAAAAGCTGCCCTATAGCCTGAAGCATACCGCTACTTTAAATATGCACTTTATTTTTGCTGTTATAGAAGTGATGTGCTCCTAAAAGTGTCAAGAGATGAAAAGGTATACAGTTATGATAAAGTTATCTCAACTGTCCGCCACTCCATCTTTTTTTTATTTTTGGGAGAGGTTTTTTTTTTGCTATAGGGCACGTGGGTTCGCCAGAAAAACAGAGAAAAAGAAAGCGAGAAAGCGGCCCCCAGAGGGCATGGCCACGCAGCAATCCCTTCTCCATTCTCCTCTTGGGATCTTGGGCATCCACGCACACGCACCAGGCGTGAGTTTAAGCCAAGGGGACCGGGACTCAAACCTCTGAGGGCTGCATGGGAATCCAGCGACATCGTTAAATTCACACTGTAAACACGCAAAGTGCTTAATAAAGTACATTTAATTTTATGCTAGGTACATCTTTTCTTTATCAGTACCTCTTACAAACGTGGCATAATATTTGATATATGGTCTAATTACTAATTTTCTGTTATGAATGCAAACACTTGAGCATTTAGGTGGTTTTTTTTCCTTTAATGTGTTATATCGCACTTGAGCTTGCCAGACTGTGAAGGAAAGTAAGAAAGCAGTCGGCAGTCAGGATGACCACATCAGAGTCCTCTTTCCTCCATCCTCCTCTCCAGATACTGGGCACGAACATGAACAGGGGCAGGAACACACCTGGTATGTTTTAGGCCCCTGAGTCCAGTGTCTGAACCATGCAGTCTGCCATGCCACCAGGAGGCCTGTATTTATGTGGTTTTTGTGAGATAAATGCCTTGAAGTGTATCGTGGCGTTGAACCACACACACTTAAATTTTTGAAAATGTTAACAAATTGACGCCTAAACTTTCGCACTTCACAGAAGACTATGAGCATGCTCAACTTGTTTGATTTTCCTATAAATGATAGCAATATTGTTTTTCTTTTTTTTTTTTTTGGAGAGGTTTTCGCTATAGGGCGCGTGCGCTCGCCAGACAGACAGAGAGAGACATAGAGACAGAAAGCGAGAAATCACCCCCCAGGGGGGATGGTCACGCCACAATCCCTTCTCCTCCATTCTCCTCTCGGGATCTTGGGCATGCACGCACACGCGCCCGGCGTGAGATTTAAGCCACCGGGTCCGAGACGCGAACCGCGGTCGACTACGTGGGAGTCCAGCGACATAGCCATTACGCTAACTGCTGGTTCCCAATATTGTTTTTCAAATCAGTACTCACTTTTGTGAAAATTCAATTGTTAGAAGTTGAGCATCTTTCATATATTTCTTGGCTATTGCTATCATTTATAGTTAGGAAAACTTTTTTTAAATTTATTTTTGCTATTGGTTAAAAGGAACACTTTGGGGGCCAATGGGTGGCATGATGATTTGGGCTCTGGTCTCCCACATAGCTGGCTGTGGTTCAAGTCCTGGACCCAGTGGCTTAAAAATCATGCTGGGTGCGTGTGTGTGTATACCTAAAATCCCAAGAGGAGAATAGAGGAGGAGGGCTTGCAGCCTGGTCATCCTCTCTAGGGAGGATGATTTCTCACTTTCTCTCTCTCTGTCTCTGGCAAGCACATAGGCCCCATGGCAAAAATCTAATTAAAAAAAAAAAAAAACAGAAAAAAGAGTGCTCTATATTATGTTAATCATTTGCCTCTTATACGAAATACCTATATAATACACACACAGTGGGAGAGGTGGGTCTTCAAATAGTTCACCAAAAATGAGTCTAATGAAAAGACTATATGCATGAATGTCAAGCTTTTTTTAAAAAGAATTATTTTTAATTTTGTTTATTCATTTACTTATTTTAATTTGACCAAAGAGAGACACAGAGAAAGAGAGAGAGAAAAAGTGAGAAAGCAAGCCACCAGACCCAGGATTCGAACCATGGTTGGCCATGTGGGAGTCATGTGGGAGTGTCCAGCACTTTAACCACCATACCACCTGCTGGTCCCAAATTTCAAACTTTCTTTGCACCAAAATAACTCATACTTTGTTTATTTTTATTGCCAGAGGGTGCATGCACTGGCCAGGGAAGGAAGGAGAGGAGAGAAAGCAACCTTCAGTGAGGCATGGTCATGCTGCAATCTTTTTTCCTCCATTTCAACCTGTGCCTGGCATGTTTTCAAGTCGCCAGGACTTGAAATTCCTTCCAACACAGTTGGCCATGTGGGCTCCAGCTCCCTAAACACAGCTACTTACCACTGCAGTAAGGAGCCAGCCTGAAGCTTATACTTTCATTATTTTCCATGAACTTTTTGAAGTGTGTGTGTTTCTCTTTTGCTTTGTTTATAGCATTTATTTTTAGTTGCTTTTAACATTTTAGTCTGTAGAATTTTTCAGTTTTTTTTTTCTAAAAACTATATATGTAGGTATATATTTGGTTTTAGTTATCTGATTTAGGGAACTGAAGATTCTTTTCTTTTAAAATCAAGTGTAGAATATCCTCAACCATTACAGTTTCTTTCTTTTTTTTCTTTTTTAAGAATTATTATTTAACTTTATTTATTTATTTATTTTAACCTGACCAGCGGGACAGAGAAAGAGAGAGTGAGAAAGCAAGCTGCCAGGTCCGGGACTTGAACTGCAGTCGGCCATGTGGGAGTCCAGTCCCCTTACCACCATACCACCTGCCAGCCCCAACCATTACAGTTCCAAATAGCTTCTTTCCTTAGTCTAGTCTCTCTATCTGGCATGTCTATTACATACTTCTGTCTTTTTTTAAAGAGAGATTTTTGCTATAGGCATGTGCACTCACTGGAGAGACCAAAAGAGACAGAGACAGAAAGTGAGAAATCACCTCCCATGGGGGGTAGCCATACCACAATCTCTTCTCCATTCTTTTCTCGGGATTTTGGGAACACACCCACATTCCCCTGGAGTGAGTTTCAAGCTGTCAGGTCCAGGACTCGAACTGCGGTTGGCCATGTGGGAATACAGCAATGTAATCATTATACCATCTGTTGGTCCCTCTAGTAGATATTTCTACCACATTGAATTTACGATACTTTCACTTACAAGATGTACTATTATTATATATAGCACCCTCTATTAGATATTTCTACCACATTGAATTTACGATACCTTCACTTACAAGATATACTATTATTATATATAACACCCTCTACTAGATATTTCTTCCACATTGAATTTATGATACCTTCACTTACAAGATGTACTATTATTATATATAGCACCCTCTATTAGATATTTCTACCACATTGAATTTACGATACCTTCACTTACAAGATATACTATTATTATATATAACACCCTCTACTAGATATTTCTTCCACATTGAATTTATGATACCTTCACTTACAAGATGTACTATTATTATATATAGCACAAGAAAGAAAATAAAATGCCATCAAACTATCTTATAATGTTTTATCACTTAGATTTCTTATTTGTTTTTTTAGAGGTTTTTGGCAGTGGGTGTGTGTGTTCACTGGGGAGAGAGAGACAGAGTAAGAGGGAAAGTGAGAAATCACCTCCCCACAGGGGATGGCCATGCTGCAAAGGTTTCTGCTATTGGGCACGTGTGCTTGCCAGAGAGACAGACAGAAAGCGAGATATTTCCTCCCCCCTCACCCCACTCAGGGAGAATGGCCATGTTGTAATCCCTTCTCCTCCAATTTCGGGATTTTGGGCACGCACGTACATGTGCCCAGCATGAGTTTTAAGCCGCTGGGTCTGAGACTCAAACCTCTGTTGACTACGTGGGAGTCCAGAGACATAATCATTATGCCACCTGCTGGTCCCCCCAGAATGATCTTCAGGGCACCAGTTCCAGGACTTGAACTGCAGTTAGCCATGTGGGAGTCCAGCAACATAATCATTATGCCATCTGCTATCCCCTCTTTTTTTTGACTTTGTGCTATAGGTCACATGTGCTTGCCAGAGAGAGAGAGAGAGACAGAGACAATG